ATGTTCTTCCTTGGCATCCGCAATTTCGGCCAAACAGCAAGAAGAGCAACAGATCGAGATTTTCAGGGCAAACAAAGGGTGCGTGCAGTTACATCATTATTCTAGTCAGGTTCGATGCAGCTGCGCTTTGCCAGAACCTCAGCAGACGAGAAAAGGCGGCAGAGCGTTTCAGATGGAACTGGATCTTTCGCCAAGACCGCCACCGCCGCCATCATCAAGTCCAGGTCAGTCAGAAAAACCGAAGCAAAAATGCAAAGCCCGAGTGAAGTGAAGGAAAAATCCAAAAAGTACGCTCTCCGGCTAGACTTCGAGTCTATAGTTTTTTACTTCGACAGGCGCTCTCGCGGCCTGTCGCGCGCCTCCATAATCCAAAATGGAGTCGCACGTGACGGGTGCTTTTAGTGGCAAGCCGTGAACCCTTAAGTTGGAAGGTCGTTGGTTTGCGCACTGGAGATGTGTTAGAGCTAGGTCTCAGGTCGTTGAATGTTTGAGTAGCTTGTCAGTTTTGTGCCCTGTTATCGCACTTTCTGACTGCTTACTATCTTGCTACAGTCGGGGATAGTTGCTTCATAACTCGTTTCCATGTGTTTTCTTCTATTTTGCAATAGGGCTTGAAAGAAAAAGTAATGACGTCAAAAACGGCCAGGGAGTAGTAAGTTGACATCAGATTTCTATTTTGGATCCACGAAGGTGTGACTATGCTATTGCCTCAGTATGTGGGTGCATAGCAACCCATGCATGTCGTATGCAGGTTTGACTTTTTCTTCGCCACCAATTGTCACCCCACCCCCATTAGCCAACCCAGTCAATTTCACCGGTTACATCACCTTGCTCTGAGTAAGACCTCTTGAAATGTGCTTGGATCCATACAATTTTTGAAATTGTTGCTATGCTGTGACGTAGCACTTTCAAGTGCTATAGTTGCTCCCACTGTATTCCACGTAAAGTATACTAATTCTCAACTGCTTCCTCTGTTGATTAGTCAATGGCAGGGAAGTTGTGGTGAAATTTGAAATAGATCCTCAAAGCCAGGGCGAGGGTCGACCGTAGCCATTAGTAATAATAGCTATCCCGACGGGAAAGAGTGATTGGCAACTAATTACTTCTTTTCTTTTTTTTTCCTCTTTGGCCGGTTTTTACGTCATTATGAACCGGTAGTAAGTGTACAAAACATCGGGTAAGACGGAGAACAGAATGCATCTCAAATTAATTGAACGCCACAGCAAATTACTTACAGAACGATCAAGAATAGATGATGAAGGCGATGTTACTGCGTCGTCACTGTCCAGCAGCCATGACTGCGGTGTGTGGTGGACAACGTGACCAGCACCTTAGTTGTCACTGCAAAGCGCCCGTCGTTCCCTCGATATCACTACAAAGGGAACAGCGAGCGGACAGGATATGGAGTGTCAACAACAGTGGTAGTTGTACTGGTCGCACCTATCGTAGTTCTACATACACCCGTGCTGGGCCTTAGTTGCTGTCCGGTAGCAGATCTACGAAGTTAGTGGTTTCTTGGCCGTCTCCGGCGGATAGATGTTGAAGACGGAGGAATGGTTTGCGCATACGTGCGTGCAAAGCCTCGTCGCACCTGACTCTTGACTGCAGCGTCGAATGCCCGAGAGGTCTCTCATTTCTCTGTCGGGTAGAGGAGAAGAGAGCGGAAAAGGCATCTAGTGCAAAAATACAACTTACAGTAGTACAGGATCAATCCACGCTACAGATTCAAGGAAGCAAAACAGCAAACAAGAACACCCCGAATATTGTCCGGGGAAACAAGCCTCCAACTGAAGAAGATTCTGAAAGTTCTACCATCGATTCCCACAACACACCATGCAAAACGTTCGCCGAGACAACCAAAATGCGAGCTGCGACTAGACAAGAAATTCAATACCTTTCGGCCTACTTCCAGAAGGTGCAGCGGAAGGAGCTCGATAATCTGCCAATGAGCAAACGCCACTGACGCAACGGCGTGTTCCATCTCCCTGCGAAGCCAAGGGATGGTCACAAAGAACGGTGAGAGCCTACGGCCGATTTCACCAGCATGGTGGGTTTCTCGGCTGGACCCTCGGCGTTTACTGGTTGGAGTCGTTTCTCGCTTGCTTCAACTGCCGACTGGTGAGCGGGCGGTGCTTGGCGCGTGCGTGCGTGCAGAGCAGAGCATCGGCGCAGTTGCAGCTTGACTGCAGAGTGAAATGTCCGGGAAGGCTCACTCCGCTCTCTGGTGGTGAAGAAAGAAAACAAAGAACGGAAACATCACCAGTGCAAAGGAAACGGGATCAATCCACACACCCGTTTCAAAAAAGGAACTAAAACAGCCCACAAGAACACCGCCACGGTCCAATGTTTCGTTCGAGGCGATCCCCTAACGTACCGATGGAAGGAATTGCTCCAGGAGAAGACATGTTGGGAGATTCGCACCACCGACTCACGTAAATAACACTGTGCACGCAACCTTCTGACAAGCTAATGAAAATGACGTGCAAGGTGGAACACCGGCTATAAAAATAACTTACCTTGATTCACTTACTTCGAGAAGGCGGAACCGATCAAACTCCATCATCATCCAAAAGAGAAAAAGACACCGCACAGCCACGTGCTGTGTCTTGCCAGGCGATGGCGGGGCAGAGAACCGCGAAACGGTTGAGAGGAGAGAGAGAATACAGCCGACTTCGTGGTAAGTTGCCGGCCCTTGAACTTGGCCTCGTTATTTTCCAGTCGTTTCTAGTTTGCTTTGGACGATGGCCCGTGACCGAACGGTGCTTGGGGGCATGCATGCATGCACAAGAGGGCCGCGCGGCGGTATTGTGGCTGCAGGGTCGAATGGCCGAGAGGACACTGTCGGATTGCGAAGAAATAAAGAAAGCAAAGAAAAAGAGACCACATTTAGTATAAGAGAAGCCTCGTGGATCGGTCCACACTAAGTTGCAAGATGAGCAAACATGGCAGCAAACAAGAAGGTAGTCCGCAATAGCGTCGGTAACGGCGAGCTTCCAACTGACCGTTAGAAAGCACTGGTCAAGTAATTTGAAGGTTGACCCACAGACTAGACTCGCGTAACGAGATTATCGTGAGATCTGGACACAGCAATACAGAGTTTTCAACTAAACTGAAGAGGGATGAAATGAAGAGACACACCCTACCTTCGCCTCCTTCACGATGTTGAAAGTCTGCGCCATCATCTTCCTCATTGGCGAGAGTACAATGGGCGAATAAGCCAGGAATAAACCACAAAATAACCATGATTGTCTGTGGTAACCGTCCTGTAGTGCTTTTACTGACAGGAAACCTTTGAGTTACGTTTGATGGGAAGGACTCTGTGAGAGAGGACTCAGAAACCACTTCTTCCTCCGCCATGTAAAGACAACGACTGCGGCAGTTGGAGGCACGGAGCTTTCTGGAGCATGCGCGCTGAGGGAAGATTCGCCCCCGCACTACGCGCTGATTGGCTGTTCGTCCAACATGGCCTCTTGTTGGCAGCTGCATCTCGACCTCATCACCGGCCGGGTCATGTAAAGAATCTGAAGATATGCGCCGATTACCCGGCTGTATGCGCCTACAAATATACCCGGTTAGGTATGCGAAGTTAGTTGTACAAGTCGACCTGAAAAACCAAGGGAACTAATAGTAATCTTTCGTGTTCAGTTTTTGTAATGCTCGCAAGTCGCCAGACAAACACAGCACTAACTACATACAGTGGTACTGTATGTTGCACATTAGTTCGGAGCCCACAAATTGTAAATCCGTGCTCAGGTACTTCGTCTTCTTCGCCTGGATCATACATCCAGGTTGCAGAATATGAATACAGTCATGGTACTACACAAGAGAGAGAGATTGGAAGCTGTGTCGCAACTCTGAGTTTCACGCCTCCGATCATCTACATTGTATTATTATTCTACAATGATCATGATTCATGTGCATACCGGTAATACCAAGACTGCAAGTGAGAACATGAAAACTGGGTTCATGGAGGTGTGTAGATCTACTCTTGGTAAGACGTGTATCGCAAGCGCCTAAGTAAAGCCCATCATCGGACCTCCAGACCGGTCCAGCGCTGCCCCTATCGAGATGTCCCTACTAAACTTCTCACCCCTTGTGCAACATACATGAAGCAACAGTCAACACTGTCCTTTACATACGATATCTCAGTGTAACATAATTGCAGGCACCATCGCAACCATGCGCAGCGCTGAACACGGATACTATCGCACATGCACTACTTTCTCCACCAAGTCAAGCGACATCACATAATAATGTCATTATGTGCACACTCTCCGTCAGCCAATCACTGTCTCCGGACTGCAAACTTCGAAGTAGAGACAGCTAATGCTGATGCCCCCCCCCCCCCCGAACCTAATGCTAGGGACTTCAGACCATTTTTTCAAATCGGTTTTCTGTGGCTTATGTTTTGCTTTTTGGATAGGTTAGAGCTTCCTGAGGAGTTTAGTCTTTATTTTTTCTAAATCGGACAAAGGAAACTAAAGTTACAAGCAAAATAGTCATTGCCTATCAGTGATGCATAGTAAGTTAGTTAGTTGATGGCATTCAGTGCTCGGAGTCGCCATGGTCACTTGTCACACAAAAAGAGGTACCGGTAAGTGTCTAATGAACCGGGGCGGTGAAGGGGACAGGAAGAGAAATGTGAGAAAAATGACACTTGAGTATTGTGCTGGGGATCCACACTCACAGGGCGCACACGCTACAAGTAGTCCATCCAGCTCAAGTCTGGAAGCACATCACCAGCCCAAATCATTTGCGGCACGTAAAATCCGGCACGATACACACTCTTCTAATAGGATAAGTGAAGCAAGACGATTTTGATATCACCTTGTATGCGTGTGGGTTTGTGTGTGCACGGTGCGTTTGTGCGCTCACATTATGTGATGGGCGCTGACGGTGTGCATCGGTCCACATTTCCCCTTGCCACGACCGTATAAAGAATGCCATTGCCCTTCAATACGGGTCCGGTGATCCTAGCAGACTTTGGTCACGGCCAAACATGAAGAGATGCCAGACGGGCTCTATTTGCCATACCAGCTTACACCTTGAAGGCGAAGTATTTTATCAATGTCCTTGGGACACTATCATCCAGTGAGAAACAAACAATCACAAGCTTCAAATATTTGACAAAAGCGGACATATCCATTCACTGCACTGGAAACACTGTTACACTGGTATTCGGGATCTTATAAAAAAATAAATAGAATAATAATTATTAAACCTCAAGACTTAAAAAAACTGGGTATGTAACTATTATAAAGCAGGAATGGTCCCAATGAATCTATTTCCATTCCTCCCCTGACCGGTTGTGTTTGTTGAAGTTAAATGATCGAATGCCGCCATACTGCATGGTCACGGCACACAATGTATCGGAATTCACCGCACACCGAGTGCACACTGATAGAGAGAGGGCGTGAGGCAGGCAGAGATAATCTTCTCGTAAATCAATTGTCACCAGTACTTGTGCAGTGAAGGTGGATGTAGAAGCTGATAAGCCAGGAATGCTCCGAATAAGCACGGCAGTCGTTCAGCTCCATTGAAGCCATGGCGCAGTAGGACTGGAGGTTCCATCGCATACATGATCATATGGCGATGTTGCAACTGCGTACTCAGCACATGGCCAGTGGCGGGTCAGGTCGAGAGGCAGCACACTGGGGCATCCTTGGCTACAGAGCTAGCACTCCGGCAGGGTGTCAGACAAGTGGCACCGTGGCTGAGAAACCGATCAAGTATCACAGTGTAATGCAGATGAAACGAATCCTCTTGCTAAACTGGCGTCCTTCGGCTATAATTGAAGATAGCGCTGACTTGTGAGTGTTACAGATGACCCATGTGTCACCAATCACCAACTGCGGATAGAGTTGATAACCATCAACTTCCCTCCGCCAAGATTAACAGGACCAATGCCAGGTGACCATGCGAGATATACTTGTGCGGGCGATTGTTGCAAGGCCAGCTTGATAAGGAAAAATCAACCTCGGGTTATTCTAGGGCGTAATGCAGCTTCAAGTCTACACCACCATCAAGCTCTTTGCGATGGCGTCCCACTCTCTCCTCAGCTCCTCGCGCAGCACAGCCTCCCGGGCGTTAAGCATACCGCGCATTGACTCAAGGCTGCGCTGCGCCTGTTCTAACGTGCTGGCGCAGTTCTTTTCGTACTCCTTCAGAGTCGTTTCCTGCCAGTGCTTGTGGCCATCAAGCTGGTGCTGCAGGGTGTCGCGGAAGTCACGTGTCGCTGCAAACTCGGCATGCATCTGACTCTGGAAGCGCTCAAACACATCATGCACGGTCGTCTCCATGGTCTTCATGCGCTGCTGCAGCTTTGCCTCGTGGTCCTCAAGTTGTGCAATCACCTACACAATACACACACAACCATACACATGCATGCACAGACACGTGCACAGACATGCACGCACACATACACACACACACACACACACACCACACACACACACACACACACACACACACACACCGTGGCGTAGCAGAGCATAAAGAGTTACTGGACTAGGGCAGATGCAGAATAATGTGCTTTTGAACAAATACTTCAGTTCCGATCCGGTAATAGATGCAGGACAAGTTTTAAACAACTAATAACTAGGTTCACTACTTTTACCAGCACCATGTGTCAGACAATCAGGAGAAATGGCCATGCATGTTGCATGTCCCTAAAATGAGTCATGGCACAATAGTTGGTGGCATGTAAACTCTTGCAATATGATACGGTCAGACCTCGCTTAACGGCACACATCCGTTTTCCACAAAAATATCCGGATAGGCGAGGGAACCGGATAACTGAACACACATACTGTACATGCATGTGGCACATCAAAATGGGCAGCATCGTACATACATGACTCTGGGTCCTATACAGTACAACTAGCGTGCACAATATGTAAAAACAAGCGAGAAAAATGACAAGTGCATGCAACTGAGTGCTATCCACATACATCCAGCAGGTCAAGGACCTCATTTGTTTGTACAACTCCCTGATTCTAGCTTCTGCAAGCTACGTGCAACCGGATGCAACGAAGCTTCTTGTCCATATTTCGACCAGTTTGTACACAAAATCATGCACCGGTATGCGGATCGCGAGGTTCGGTTATGTTGTATGCGTAACGTATGATGCACATCGGTAACCAGCGATTTTCTTCCGGATGGCGAGGGATCCGGATAAGCGAGGTCTGACTGTACTGTGGTTGGGCGACCTCATCATGTTGCATATCAGCTACTCAGTCAGTGGTTCTAGTTGAAAACCAACCAGTCTAGGTCTCAACCCTACAAACACTATGTATGCTTTGCACATGCATACACTACGGGGTAACATCATCACAACACAAAATGCTGGCATGTGGAAGTCACCTTTCTAAAGTACAAGTTACATATCACAGGTTTATGAACAAATAAGTGATAGGAAAGTGGAATGACTATTACGGGAGAGCTCCGAGCTGCGCAAGCGCATCTACTGTCCAATGGGGGCATTCACACTAACTAAGTTCAAACACTGGCCTAAGTTAGCTCTAGGGCTTATGTTTCACCTAGCACCGGCACTTAACGTACGCATGCATGCACACACACACATGTACATGCACACATACATGCACACACACACACACGTACGCACGCACGCATGCCCCCCCCCCCCCCACACACACACCACTCGCACACACACTTGTACTTGTACTTGTTGCTCACTGCCAAAACTGGTCACGTGGGTCTCCCAGGGAGAAGGGAGAGAGACTCTAAAGGAATCTTGGAAAGATGACTCGATTGGCTATTGAACCGACCAACGGCCGACACCCCTGAAATCCCCAAAACTCTGGGACCGTCACGGCCTTCACCTTACACACACACACACACACACACACACACACACACACACACACACACACACACACACACACACACACACACACACACACACACACACACACACACACACACACACACACACACACACACACACACACACACACACACACTGTACTGTACTGTATTGACAGCTACCCTAACGGGTCACGCCGCCCTCCACCCAAGCATGGGTATGATGAGGGGCAGTGGCAACAAAAACAAAAAACAGCAAGCAGAGAGAGATAGCAGGAGAAAGACAGCGATAGTAGTACATCTGGTGTGCGACGTATAGAAAAGAGAGATGACAAGAGATACGCACAAAAAGGAAACAATAATTATTTGAACCTGTATTATTGCAGTTCCGAAATAATCAACCAGGTGATGGAGTGTGAGCACCCGAAGTCCCACCTGGACTCCACTGGAAGAACATTCCACGCAGGGATATCAGCGATAGGCCAAGCGTTGAAAACAGCCATGAGGACACATCGTCTAGAAGTCCACCGTGCTCGAACTGAAATTGCAGGATCAAACAATTTCCAACCCGTCGTTAGGCAGCGTAACTCTTCTCCCTGCATCACCATCCATCTCCAGCAACCGTCTCCACTCATAGGTCATGCCTCTGCCACCACTGTACTCCGAGCTTCGCAGTTTGAAACCATTCGGGGGTCAGCTACACCACCGCGAATGGAGAGACGAGGACGACAACGGTCGTGACAGAAAAGACACTGCCCTGGCGACCGCGTCGCGGAACCCTCGCCCCAGCAAATTCAGAAACACGCCAGGGGCGACTCTGGTGGACCCAGAGCCACCCCGTGGCCTAAGACTAGTAAGAGGACCGACTGAAAACTCAGATAAAACGGAGCTACAAAAAGTGCAACCGTCCCCTTCAAGCACAGTTACACACACACACACACACACGCACACGCACACGCACACGCACACACACACACACACACGTACAGATTCACACATACATCTTGCAACAATGTGCACTTCAGCAAAAAATCCAGACAAAGGAATTGCACAGTCTGTCTCACCTTCTCACGTAGCCGATCACGCTCCACAATGTTAAAATTCTGCGTCTCCATCAGTGCTGACTGCATATCTGCGGACAGAGATCTACATTTTTCATCTGTCGTTGTCAAGACACGCTCAACACATGTTTGCTGGCGACGCAAGCCTTCCTCGAGCTGTTCCTCTGCACTCTGTAAGCCTTTATCGACAGCTTTGAGCTACACAAGAACAGTACAACACCAGGAAGGGGCAAACCGAAGTTGTTATGAAGCAGGGTGCAATGTAGCACTCAACTACAGTGGTTGATTCAATGAGACCGTGACCTAGACCCACTACTGCTACTGTTCTGGTGCCCTGTAGTCCAGTGGTGTTGCTCATGTGATTAGCAAGGTCAGCCATTCAGCGCATGTAGTGGTGAGGAGTTTGGAAGTCTTACATGTGTGATTTGGTTTCAAAAAGAATAGTCTTCAGCTGTAGTCAACTCTCGTGATTAGTACAAGGCACCAAGGGTGAGCAACTCATTCCATTTACGGTTCAGTCCACACATCGAGGCCGGGCACATTACATAGTCTCCACGGGAGGAGCACCGGAGACTTCACCGTGAGCCAAGTCAATTATCTATTTTACTCCAACCATGCCACTAATCTACCACCATTTCCCCAAATAGCATCATTGGCACATAGGTTGCAGCAGTCTACACTTTGCTTCAAAACCAATGGGAGGGGAGCAAGCCTTAAAATTGAGTGCAACCTGTGACATACAAATCAAACTGCAGAGAAACAAGAATGATGAAAACCTGTCCTGAAAATGGGATGTGCAGCCGTAAGTCATACGCGACCCATATTCGTGTGAATATGGTGCCAATCCTACATTCTGGCAAGACAGACAGATGCATGGAGAGACAAGAGGCAATCTGCAACACTTAAGAACACTTATCAAAGTGACTTACCCTCTCCTGCAAGAAAGACAGTGCCGTCTCCACTATCTGCTTGTCCTTCTTTGCATTCTCCCGGTTGTTGAACACCGCCTCTCCTAAAGACAAACGAGCCGGCATAAAGCGTTGTCCCACCAGCACTATCATCATTATTATGGTCCAGATAACTCATAATAGCAAGCCATGATTCAAAAGTACTTCGAAGTACTGCAAAACCTGGTGTAAGCGACCTCTGGGTTTAGCGACCACCTGCTCTTAACGACCGTTTTTCCATGCACCGAAAGTTCTACACAGACACTGCGGGGCCTGGTTCTAAAGACCACCTGGCTTTAACGACCGCTTTTGCTTGGACCGTGGGGTGGTCGCTTAAACCAAGTTTTACTATAGCTAGTTTCTGTCATTGGTGATGTTGCACACCATGGCACAACCTTTGGACTTTTCATGAAATACCAACTCACTTGGCCCATCCCGATCGGCTATGCAGTCTGGAAAACGTGTTTCTCCCGTGACTCCGAGCGATGTTCAGAAATGATTGCACCATGTGCCAATGCTGTACGTAAACGGTACCTGTGCAGCTATTCATTTTGCAATTCAGTGCTTCAAGATAAATCTTCAAGAAATTCACGACTTGCATGAGACCCAGTCAGACGAAATTTCCGCATTCGTAGGAGCCGGCCACCACCCTCAATGATCAAGACGCAGCCTACGCAGGTCCTAAAGCAGGCACGTAGCTTGTGTATACAGGGCCGGCGGAACCGGTCAGGCTGGTCCGGCCATGGCCGGACCACTTTCCCAGCTGGATGGTCCATGTGATTCGTGCAAAACCGGTGTAAAAAAATCCAGAGGTACATGACTCGACTGTATTGCTGACGTGTGATGTGCTTCGAAGTACATGTAGCTCAGGACTCCGTGACCGGCACTGTATGGCTGATATGGATTAAAAAAAAGTTGTGTTTGTGTTATTTCACTATAATTTTCTGCATTTTCTGGAGCCTCAGGGCATGTTCGATTGGTAAGGATCGGGATCGGGATCCAGATCTCAGATCCCTCGGATCCTTCAGATTCAACTGAACACTTTATTTTGGACCTTGACTGTTGCCATATTGAAAATGGCGCTCACAAGGCACCCAAAAGGGTGAACATCGTACTCATCCCGTGCGTCGTGCAAAAAGTCAACAAGCTCTATCTCCATCCACGTGTGCGTACCACAATGTGTACAAAAATGATTTTTACCCGCCATATACGCACAAAGGTCACATTTGGATCCGTTGGATCCGGTCAACCCTGCTCCCCGAGGAGGGTTGACCGGATCCAAATCCGAAGGATGCAAATCCAGTGGATCGGGATCCCGATCCTACCAATCGAACATGCCCTCAGAGATGCCCAAATTCGCTCTATTTCACGTAAATTTTAAATATTTCTCCCGGGGGACGTCCCCCGGACCCCCCTCAAAGGTTTGCCCGACCACTCCCAAACTCCTTCCTCCGGCCCTGGTATAGTCAGCGTAGTTCGGTCATCACACTGTTTCGGGGTAAACAAGTTAGTTGTTTACGATAGGATTATATTCTCACTTGGCCATTGTAGGCAAATCATAAGAACCACGACATCTAAAGGATGCTGCATGAAAGTAGGCAGCTGCGAGATGCGTATCTCGCGCATGCTCTTGCATGGCTACGTAATGCATTACATCATAATACAACATCCCCTTCGTCATAAAGGAGTTTAACAACCTACATAACATACCGTACGTATATGACGGCGTGTTCACAATATAGAACATAACATCCAACAATAGCTCTATGTACAAGGTAACAATCATGAATGGCACACGACGGCGTGCTAACAATACAGAGACATAGTATCCAACAATAGCTCTATGTACAATATAACAATGGCACCTCAGCTACTGTGACATAAGCGAACAGGTCCATGAGGCCTCTCTGGCCCTACACATCCAGGATTGACCTGGGTGCGACTGCGCGGCCAGACCGTGTTCGATACAGCTGGGTGGCAGGTTCAGCAGGCTGGCTGACGTCACACGGTGACGGCGGCTGAGACTGGCTAACGTCGCTCCACGGCGACGGCACGTCACTCGACGGCTGAGGGCCTGCGAGACTGGCATCCGGCGGGAAGTGGACCCGCCTCTCTCTGAGGTGGGTACGGTTGCGCCGCACTTCTGTCCCATGGTCAGGCTGCACCATGTATGACCGTGGCCCGTTGACAGACTGGGTTACGATACCAGGTTCCCACAGGTGCGTGGTCGGGCTGCGGATGCCGACGTGCTGACCAGGAACTAGGGGGCGGAGAGACTGCGCTCGCTGGTCATGGTGTACTTTCTGCTGGTCCTGCCGTTCCTCGAGCTTCTGTCGGATGGCCTCGTCCCGAGTGTCGCGCTGGTGTTTGCGAGGCAGGTTGTCCTGTACCTGACGACCGAACAGCATCTCGGCCGGCGACGGTAAGCCCTGGCACACTGGGGTGGCGCGAATGCACAGCAGTGCTAAGTGCGGGTCGGTCCCGCTCTCCCTTGCCTTCTCGAGAGCTCTCTTAGCGATCTTGACTTGCGATTCGATAAACCCGTTACTCTGCGGGTGATGTGGCGACGACGTACTGTGGCGGAATCCATATTCGGCAGCAAACTCCGCGAACAGATGGCTGCTGTATTGCGGCCCGTTGTCCGACTTCAGCACGGCTGGGATGCCGTGCTCACCGAAAATCTCCTTGAGGTGCTGGATGATGGCCCTGCTGGTCGCTTGTCCGGCAGGCAGCTTCCGGGTGATAAAGTACTTGGAGTAGTAGTCGGCGGCAATGAGGTATTCTGACCCGCCGAGGTAGAACAGGTCCGTGCCTAAGGTGTGCCATGCCCTTGGCGGAATATCGGGCTGCATCAGTGGTTCCTTGGCTTGACTGCTCTGGTGGCGCTGGCACGTCGTGCAAGATGAGACAGTTGCTTCGATATCCTTGTTGATGTCCTTCCAGAAGACGGACGTTCTGGCTCGCAGCTTGGTCTTCTCTATGCCTTGGTGGCTGGCGTGCAGCTTGCTGAGGATTTCCCCCTCATTGGCGGGGGAATCAGGACGCGACTGCTCTTCAGGATGAGACCGTCCTCGGTGCTCATCTCGTCGCGGAAATTCCAGTACGGGAGCAGAATTGCCGGCACCGCGCTCCTCTCTGATGGCCAGCCACTGAAGATCATCTCCTTCAGTGCTGACATCTCGGCGTCTTTAGCCGACTCCTCGCGGATCCTCGTCATCGCTGCATCGCTGAATTGCGGGAACACGGCGTGTACACTGACGTCGAGGTCCTCAATTGGCTCTGTTTCCTCTGGCGACAGTCGGGATAGCGCGTCTGCGATCGGAATGTCCTTTCCGGGGCGGTACTTGATGGTCATGTCGTACGGCTGCAGCTTCAGCAGCATGCGCTGTAGACGCGGCGGGGCTGCGCGGAGGTGCTTGAGCTTGATTGACTCCAGCGGCTTGTGGTCGGATTCTACTGTGAATGACTGACCGAATAGGTAGGTGTGGAATCTTTCACACCCGTATACGACAGCTAAGAGCTCACGCTCAATATTGGCGTAGCGAGACTCCGTCTCGGTAAGCTTCTTGCTGGCGAATGCAACAGGCTTGTCGTCCTGCAGCAGAGTGGCGCCGAGACCTTTCATGGAAGCGTCGACTTGTAGTGTCGTTGCCTTGCCTGGGTCAAAGTAACTGAGCGTTACCTCTGTCGAAATGGCGGCCTTGACCTTGTCGAAGGTGCGCTGGTGGCTGTCTGTCCAGGCGAACGGTGTATCTGGCTTGGTCAGCTCACGCAGGTGCGCGGTCAGTGTGCTGGCATTCGGTATGAACGGGCTCATGTACGTGACTAGCCCGAGGAACGTCTGGAGCTCGTCCTCGTTCTCGGGGTGCTCCATCTGCTTCAGCGCTGAGACCTTCTTCGGGTCGGGCTGTATTCCGTCAGCGCTGCAGATGATGCCGAAGAACTTGATCTTGTGCTCTTTGATGCGGCATTTGTCTGGGTTCAACTTGAGACCAGATTGTTCGCAGCGAACCATCATCTGGTGCATGTTGAGATCATGGTCCTCGTCTGACGTCCCGTATGTGACGATGCGGCGTGGGTTCGAATCCCACTTCTGACACCATGTTTCGGGGTAAACAAGTTAGTTGTTTACGATAGGATTATATTCTCACTTGGCCATTGTAGGCAAATCATAAGAACCACGACATCTAAAGGATGCTGCATGAAAGTAGGCAGCTGCGAGATGCGTATCTCGCGCATGCTCTTGCATGGCTACGTAATGCATTACATCATAATACAACACACACCAGCAAATGGCCGTCATAGGCACTACATAGGCAAAACGGCAGCTATGAGGCTGCTGGTGGTACATAGCCAGCACACCACAGATGTGCGAGCTATGCCCCTGTGTAGCCTCCTAAGCTGCAGGAGGTGAGTAGATCAGAGCCACCACAATGTGGTCAATGGTCGAAAAATCCCATTCACTTCATCCATGTTTCCGGCCTCAGTCATGTCAAGCCATCGTCTCTCAATTAACTGTAGGTCGCAGCAAAAATCCTTCCACTTCAAGGCAGCACTTGAACCTGGTATCCGGGGTTTGTCAGTCCAAGCTTGCTACTAGAGATCGGCATGCGTGTCACAGTGCTATATCTGCTGGCAACACATTTGCCTCAGTCATTAGGTCAACAATTACATGTACATGTATACCCTTGCATTTTCCTGGGACAGTCCAGGGCTCAGAGGGGCAGTGGTGCACATTGGATGTGTATACGGTTACCTCTCACCTGCTGCGGCCTGGTCCTTTATTAGTCGTTCAACATCCATTTCGATGAGCTCAGCCCTGCGCCGTGTCTCCAGTGCCAGGATGTGGACATTCTTGTCCAGCTGTCGAATGGAGTCACCATGATCGCACATGCGCTCCTCCAGGCTTTTGAGGTGTTTCCTGGACACGCGATACGCATGTACACTCACCATTATAAGTATATACCTGATATGTGCGTGTGTGCATGTACCACTGTAAGGTCCTATCTTGTTCGCCAGAGTTAGTGCACCTCAGTAATGGTTTGGTTCATGCAGGGCACATCTGCTCAGAGTCTACACTATCAGTTGGGCATTCATACCAACCATAGGCTACACTGTAGCCCAGTACCCAGTCGGCTAAGCACTGAAAATAGTGTGATGTGCTTACTGAACAACAAAAAAAGGAGAGAATCACTTCCCCATTGCAACAGCTTGCGACGACATCTTGACTTGCCGTATATAGTACAGGGTCTATGATGATAGTGAGTCACAGTGAGTGGAGCTCACTTAGTTCGTACTCTGATCAGACTTTTATATTGTTCGTGCTTGTTCATGTACATGTGCATGCTACGTGTTGCATGTGCGAACCGTACCGGTACTTTTTCGGGCAGTATGCTTATCGTTGATAAATATGGTGGTAAATACCATAAGTACAGCTGCAGTGGTGTCTTCAACTTCATTCTCAGTATGCTTATCGGGCAATATATTTATCGGGCTTAACCGTTGACTTCAACAAAGTCAAAAGGATAAACGGGGTATTAATTTAGGGCTGTTACTTATTTCCGGACTTTTACGGTAAAGGCAGAGATGTTACACGCATTACATCATCGCTCTGTACACGTTTTGTATCGAGTGGGAAATCACTGAAATATGTATTGGTGATATACTACTCACGCCTCAAATAACGATGTCATTGCACAGCCCCTACACTGCTATTCTACAGGGTACTCTAGACGGCGGCACTGACTCACCGGAAATCATCAGACTGCTGCACCATGTAGGTCAGTAACTCCGACGTTGTGCGAACGTGCTCGTAGAGGGAATCGCGCTGCTTCTTACCGAAGCGAAACCCGTCCTTCATTTCCTCATGGCTCTTCTCCAGATCCTGCTGTATCCGATACCCTCTCTCCAGTAAACGCTACATGCAAAGAATGATAACACCATAATCATTATAAATACGTTGTACTATAGTCCATTCATCCAACATTGCTCGACGACTTGTGTGTATAAAACACATGTACATGTGGAAGCCAATTATTATTGCCTATGTCCTCATCTCTCTTCGCTTTGTTTTCGCTGCCTGGGCTCTCATTTATCTTTGCTTGCTTGCTTGCTTGTATTGCCGAGGGAACATATGCTGGTTTGTATTCGTGGGTCCCCATGGTGCATGGGCCAAGCGTACTCATCCGGCGGATATGTGTGAATAATAATAAGACAAGCATAGTCACAGCCATGAGTGTCAAAGGGATCTTGTAAGATGATCTTTCTTCTTAGGAAAGCTCTTAGGGAAGTTTTTCAGACTGGCACTGGCTAGTTTGCCTCTCTTTGGGCGACGGGGGGAGTTGGGTTGTCTTGTGTTCATCAGTCGTATTGGCGTGTGAGCGTTCGTCTTGTATAATGTAAGATGATCAACGGGAAGTGTTAACCGGCATTTGGGAGATGGTGAAGTTGGGTTGGATTGTGTATGTTCAAGTGGTGTGTGAGCGTGCCGCTTTTCTCAAGGGAGTCCTAACCTCCCCAGGGGACACTAGAACAGATAGTACCTGTCCAGATTCGTCAGTTCTACATGTATGTGATCCATGGCCTAGGCAACATAATTATGGTGTAATTGAGGCGAGACCAGTTCACCCCAAATAATTGGCCAAGACCATAAAGTATAATGCTTGGATACATCTGGCGCACTGAGCTGTAGTCTAGATAATCATAATACCAGTGTAGCCTGTATGCAGTGTAGGACGACAGGGCAGTCCAGGAGTGAAGCCATACCCTGAGTGCATGGTCTACCGACGCAGCAGCGCAACCTGTCATCTCCCAACACGCTACAACTCGCTGCTGGTGCACATAATGCACACCACGGAACACGTCAACACATTACCGAACTAATCATCCGGGCAGTGCTAATCGAGGAAAGACTCTCATTCTTCTCGTATCGACATGTCCAGCATCAGGCGAGCACACACTACTAGATTTCCGTTAATTTCGTATCCTCACCTTGAGCATAGATTCTTGATGGGCCATCCTATCTGCCATCAGCCTGGCTTGCATGCGTGTGGCCGCAGCTTTGCCGGAATCGTCCGCCATGACGACAACGTGTCCTCCTTCGCCGCCACCACTACCACTGACCAACTGTATCTGGATATCCGCCTTGCCGCTGCCGGAAGCACCGCTGATCGGCATTGAAGACTGGCCAGCTGCCGTCCGTGCATCGTGTGCACGCCGAGAGCTCAGACTGACGACCTCTCCGGCTGTCTGCTGCGCCGGGTCCGTCGAATAGCTGAGGCCATACGGCGACTGACGATGGTTGCTCACACCTTCACCACTTGGCACAACCGCGGAACTGCTCTGTGAGAAACGCTTCCCTGGTTGTCGGCTGTGGCCGTGTCCTGTCGCTGTACTGATTGCAGGCAGTCGAGTTGCAGCTGGTGCCGGAGATAGACGTCGTCCCGTGTTTGCATCCATTCGAGCAGCTACTTGTACTTGTAGTTGTAGTTGATCTGCCAGTCACTACGGACTCGACGCGGCCTTGACCCTATGATAACTTTCCAGTTCGGTCGCAACTATTTTAGGAACGGGTTACGCACCCACAAAGGAACGGGTTACGTGTATCGTTCTGTTACTGCTGCTTTGTACCAGGTGTAGACCTACCGTCCTTCCCCACTCCTACCCTACCCAGCCTAGCCTGCGCTGCTTGCGTAAATCCCTGTCGTTATGCGCTAAATCTATCATGCTGCAAGAAGCGTCTGTGACGACTGACGGTATGCGGTACAGCTACAGTACAATACGCAAGTAAAGACAAGACTTGGCGTTGCAGTTCAGCGGGATACTACCGGTATACCGCACATGGTGCAGACCACGTAAACATCTCCACTGTCCAAACAGGTCAAGCTACCCACCTGATCGGCGAAACGTTACGCACAACTCGAGCTCTGTCGCCTGTTCACATCAGCGAGCTTGCCTCTGCTTGAACTGTTCAAGACTGGCTACGGACCTTGGAATCATGGAGTATACTCCTCTCCGCAGTCTACCAGTTCAAGTTTAGCTTGTCGTTGACGTTGGCTCTATTTAGCTCTTGCATCTCCAGAATGATGTCTTTCGTACTGTTGTCTAGTTGTAAAATTACGGTCGGTAGTACAGTCCTGCATGCAATGCCTTCCTCAAACTAACACAGTAACAGCACAGTGGACAGCAGCCTAGCTCCTATGACAGTATAGTATGAGTATGAATGGACCAGTGCGGCCGCAGTGGCATTCTTGGAATTGCAATGGATTTGCTGCTCAGTGAAGCACCTCCGTGGTTCTGGCATCTCAGAGTATAACTTTTGAATTATTTGACAGGCTGAAACGTCTCGAGGGTGACGACAACGACGACGTCCGTCGCTATAGTGTGGAAGCATGGAGGTAGAAAGAAGTTCAAGAAACGATGGTATGAATTGATGGTGATATGATGACGATTGGGGCAACTTCAATTGCCAGGTTTAGAAAGTTCACAACCTTCTGATCCCTCTGCTACCCGCCTTGGATCAAGTCATGAACCAAAGTCGAAGTTCCCATTGGCTTCAGCATACTCGTTGTATTCAACTCACGGTAGCCATGGCCGGTCCACATCTCATTCTGGCTACGGCCTACTGCCCCTAGGGAGTACGAAGCGCAGTGCGCCGGGCTCAGTGGACGAAAACTGCCAAATCCGATGTCTCGTCAGTGACGGTCTACAAAGCAACTACACTGTACATGTCCCGGGGATTGTGTGCTCATCTGGCAAAAAGAACGGGACTTACCGACTTACTGACCCACACCCGAAAAAGAACAGGAAGAACACCTAGACCTTACGGTTCCACCATCCAAGAAGCCGGAGACGTGCTGCCCATCTGACGACATCAACGTTGAGGCACGAGTGGCTGGAGAAGACTACAGCCGGAACTATTGAAGTATGTTTGGAAAGGCATGCCTAAAGCGGCACAAGAACAACGAGCACAGCAATGGTTGGCCCAATCCCCCCGCAGGCACCACCGTGCACCATCAGTACTCAAGTATCACACAGTGCTGTCAATTATGCCTGAGAGAGAAGCTACAGATCATGCAGGTAGACATGATAATGTAGTTTGCCAACGGTGCACGATCATGTATGATAATGGATCAGTCACCACAGGTTTCAACCCGAGGGAGTCTCCGATAATGACCGGCAAAGAAATCCCTTGAACCAATGTTCGGAAAGCAGCGCCAAGGCGTATTAGGCCGCTGCGGCTCTGGGATCCGTTCAGGTTTTTGGACCGTGTACCAGTCCATGTACTTGAAATGAACTCGTGCCCAGTCGTGACTCGGATTGCTTTGGCCATGACTGTAGTTGAGAGTCGTGTACTGGTATTCCTGATGCTACCAAGAGTCAACTCTTGTTCACAATGATGTCTTGTTCCAGGATACCGTATATTTTACGGCGCGCATAATCAGAATAATCGGATGCGTGACACCAAGAGTCGTATCTAGAAGAATAATGATGCGTGACACCAAGAGTCGTACATGTATCTAGAAGAATAATGATTGATCTCTGACTTTTCAGTAGGGTTAAAAATGATTACCGTATTATCTCTAATATAAGCACGGTCCATTATTTTTTCAATGTGACCTCCGCCCCGTGCTATTAATGGAGACGTTCCGTTATTGGAGACTGTTCCATTATTATTTCAACCTCATTTCATAGGCATGTTGCCATGGCCAAATTCATGTCAGACACACACATTTTAGGTTTTTTTTTCGCCGGTACAGATAATGAATTTACACAGTGTGCTTATAATGGAGACTGAGCACTTTATTTTTGAATGCTGCCCCAAGGTGTTCTATTATTGGAGACGTGCTATTATTGGAGACTGTGCTTACTTGTATATTAGAGATAATACGGGTATTGAAGAAGGATACAATCATGCCTTTCATGGTTATGAGCGCACACCAAGAGTCCATAAACATTTTGCTCTCTACAAGTCTTGATAACACTGTACATGATTGTATCAAGAGTATTACCCCCCCCCCCCCCCAATACTCTTCAGTGATTCATGTAATGATGTACATGTATGCTACCAAGGCAAGAGTCGACTGTAGTGTAGTGTAGTCTGATAGTCCCCTACAGTCCATTTCAAAACTATAGACGCGTAGGGTTTTTGAAATATTTCAAATTTGGCTGGAACTTTTTGAGAATAGTTTTCGGAATACTGCTCAGGTCCGCTCCACAATTGCTCTCAATTGCTCTCATGTAGTTTCTAAACGATTGGATAACAGACGATTATTTGGAAAAATTTATGCACAAAGTGATCACAGATTTTATGTGGTATAGATGCTGGCATAACGGTTTTTGCCTAGGTAGATCTACGCGTGTACGTAGATCTACGGACCCTCACCGCCTCGGTATACGGTATAGTTTTGAAATGGACTGCAGGCTCTGCGCGCGCGCGCGCGCGCGGTGCCCGTGCCGCGTGCGAGCAGATCTGGACTCTGGTGTACGTGTCTGTGCTGTACGTGTACGGCTTTGCCCGCGCCGGCCGCACCATGTAGACTCTACAGTCTACACGTACACGTACGTACTAGTACTCTACACTGCGCGCGATCGATCGGCCGATATCGCGATCGCGATGTGCATTTCTGTTCTCTGTGTTTTCATGATTAATTTTTGTGTGAAACGGAAAGATGACGTACATCATACTACCAAGAGTACATAACCCCCGGGGGGTTATGTAGGGGGGTTATGTACTCTTGTAGTCTTGATACTACAAATGTAGATGACGCGAAGCATTTTTGTACGCACGCATACGCTGTACCATATATAGGCCATGTCAGTCAAAGAAGCCAAACTCCCCCAAAAGTTAAAACACCAACAAGCGGTTCAAAGAATCAAATGCCAACATTTTTTCCCTTCGTTTGAAAACTGATGGGCCAAAGCTTTGTTTACTAGTACTAGCTACCCAGCTTTTCTTCTAGCAGGAACCATGGACTATGGTTAGCTGGCTGTCGTGCCAGGCTGGGGACAACTCTATGGAAGAACAATGTCGGTTGGAACGGAACTTGCGTCGCTTGGCGTAGGGCAAGCAATAGTCCATTGCAACAACTGTGGCACCGATTTGACCGCCCTTATCCACATCGCATGCTCCGTTTGCGCGGATTTCGACTTGTGTTTGCAGGTCAGCTGAGTGCTGAGATACTGTACTTCGCACTAGGATGACTTGTCAGTATTCGCTTGTGCGCGCGTTTGTGTATGTGCTGTCATGTGCGCGTTGTGTGCGTACGCATTGCGTGCGTATGTGTATGTGTGTTAGTTTGATGTATCAATGTATGCATGCACTATGTTATTCATTAGTGTATATAGTTGGGGACGTACATGCGGATATGTGTGCGGTTCTTGTGTGCACCTGTGTGTGTACCTGTGTGTGTGTGTGTGTGTGTGTGTCCCATATGGTGCAGTGGTATGTGCAGTCGATTTCCAATCGAGAGGTTGCGGGTTCAATTCCCGACGATTACGGTCGCACACGTCTTTCTTCTCTTTCTCATTCTCCTAGTTCTTCTTTCATTCTCCTGGGTGGTTACCAACAGCCAGTGTATGCCGGAGTATTGTGGTGTGGTGTGTGCGTGTGTAAAAAGGAAAAAATGGAAAAAATGAAAAAAATGAAAAAAATGAGAAATAGGGATTCACTGGCCAGAAAAAGCTGCTTCAATCAGCTGTGTGGTGGATACCAGGCTAAAATTAGTGGCGGTCAATTCATCAGCCTTGCAAGCTGTTGAATGGTGTAATCCCAGCACAAGTTGCTATGTCTAACATAGCTGTTCGCTATCATCGCTTCCGCGATGGGCAAGTCTGAGGTTTGAGGTGTGTGTGTGTGTGTATGGTGTGTGTGTGGGTGGTGTGGGTGTGCATGAAGACGATGCACGTAGAATGTAGACGGACCTTGGGGAAATTACTAGTAAACCAATTAGTTCCAGTTACATGTTGAATGGAATACCTAGTATTCTGTGTGTATTTCTAAATTTGCCTGGAGTAGCGAAGCATTTCGAAATCAAGCGGCAAGGTTGGTGCTTTGCTCTTGGAGTATTGCATTTCTCTTAGCACGGCGTGTGCGTAGCTTGTCTGGTGGTTTACCAATTATCAGCTGCTTGGCCGCTATAGAGGTTACACACATATAGAGGTTACACAAATGTAATCTTTGTACGGTGGAACTCGCTAATAGTACGTGTACTCTCATAAGACACACACACTCATTACTCGTACGCTTGCTTATAAGTACGGACATTGTTCGGAGCATTTGTGTAGTGATCCGTACTGTAGTATGTTGGTATAAGAAGTACAGTTGTATACCAAGACCACTTTCCTGTTACCTGTTGGAGAACTGTAAGTCTACAAATATTCAGCGCATATTTATTTTCGGCCTGGTCATGTTGGGGCGAAAATTTGTTGCGGCCGAAATTTTGTTTTGCAAGGTTCAATGTGACAGTGTACCGTACTTCCGCACATATAACTATAAGCGCATGTGCTTATGTCCGGACATAAGCGCACCCCCCAATTATAAGCGCATGCGCTTATATGTGAACACTATTGGTGGAACACCCGGGAGCTGAATATACTGCTAAGCATTGTGATAGCATCGTTGTTTAGGATACAGACAAACCTTTATTGCACACATAAGCGCATGGGCTTCTACGCGAACAGGTTCACACATCAAAAAATCTTTTTTGTAGCAAATTTTCACTTATAAGCCCATGTGCTTATATGTGGGGAAGTACGGTATACAGGTGGCAGCAGTACAGGCCGAACATTTGATGCAGCCGAAATGGGTTTTAGCCCTGGCAGGCCGAAGTTTGAATGCGCCGAAAATGTGTAGACTTACAATAGGTCTTATCAGAGTTGCACTCTATGCTCTTTATATGGTGTGCCAATGTATACTCTTTATATTATGGTGTGCCAATGTATGCTCTTTATATGGTGTGGCAAACCAGAGTTTGTGGCGCCACTCCATACGAAACACCCCAAACGACGATGTAGTCGCACACCTCTATAGCCTAGGCAGGGCCACACTACTTGCTGGAGCTGGCGGACTTACCAAACTGCACAATGTCACTGGGTTGGACTACATGTAGCCTGGTTTGATTTGCTAGTCGATCACGAAGCATGTAATCCAGCCCCCACTCTCTCTTTCTTTCTTTCTTTCTTGGACTGAGTTCTGGCATGTTATCGTGTGAATTTCTAATGCCTGTGGTTGCTTTGGTATTCGGTGTCTATGTGTTTGGACAGTGTTTCTCAAGCGGTGCTGAACTCGGCAATCATAAGAAACATCATGACTTCACCGTACTGGTAAGCCGAGGAGACGATTGCAGGCTTGCACTATGTAGCACAGTGTAGCACTATGCCGTATGGGCTGTCGATGGTTGTCATTAGCATGGGCATACTCTTTGTCATAGTTCGGTCGGATTAGCCTGCTTGCTCGGCGAAGTAGCCTGAGCCAGCTCAACTGATTAACTACCGGGTTGGTTTGGACTAGCATTGGTTGGTTTTGAAACCAAGCATACTATTAGTCAAGATTCTGCCTGTACAGTAAAATCAACTTAACGCCCTTGGTGCAGCGAAAACTGTTCTTATATGACAGGAGTCCGCTTGACCCAGGGATGCACGTTTGATCCACAGCACTTTGGTGCATTTGGTGCATGGAAATTTGCCCGGTCAGTACTGGATTGCGCTTGGTACAGGGTCCGGCAAACACAGGTTTTACTCTACACTCAATCAGCGGACAGAACTGTTTCGTCCGTTGTGAACTCATCAGCGCAGCGCAGAGGAAATGAGGCCGAACCTGATACATGTAGCAATGAAAAATAAAATTTTCCAAAGCCGGATTTAAACCAGGCCCGAACGTACCTTGCCAGAGTGCTCGAACTGACCAGTCAGTGAGCAGTTCTACTGAACATGTACTTATCTCCTGTTTTTGGTTACATTGTGTCCGTTGTTTGCGCTTGCACCTGGCTCGGTGTGTGTGCTAGGACAACTGTACGTTCCCAGTGCTGGTGAATGACTGGGGTGCTGATGAGGAGTTGCTCTTGCTGGAGGCTGTAGAACAACATGGCATTGGTAACTGGTAAGGAGGGGTGTGTGTAGCCTGTAGGTAAAAATTCCGGCCCGAGACGCTGACCTGTGTTTTGTCACGTGTCCGTATGGGATTTGTAATGGGGTTTATTTAATTAAAAAAGGAATGAGGAGGTTGGAAAGTACATGCATCGATTTGTGAAACATCCATTGCTCTTGGGAACGAGTTATGAAGCAACTATCCACGACTGTAACAAGATAAGGTCTTAGGTCGTTGAACGTCTCAGTAGCCTGTCAGTTTTGTGCCCTGTTGCTGCACGTCCTGACTGCTT